TGAAAAGCTTGGAATGTGTACTACAATCCATCTTTGAAATGCAAATTGAAATTCCAAGTGGAAGTGTATGGAAAATGGCCTTGAAGTTGGGTAGAAAACCTTGTCAAAATAGGTTAAAATTTCACTAAGTTAAAAATGGTTTAGTGCCCTTATTCAAGAATTTGTAACTTGAGATACAAGCCTCATTTGGGAAAACTTTGTGAATCAAAGTTGTAGATTATGCAACAAGTTACAACTTTCATGTTTTGACTTTTGTTTGAATCCAAATGAATCTTGGTTAGAAAGTAGGGCAAAGTTGGGAAAAAATTAGGGTTTTTCATAACTTAGAAAAATTCTAAGTTATGAAAAATTCTCATTTCTAACCCTAATTTGCATTTTTTTTGATTTCTTGGTGAACAAGTTTCATGATTTGGCATGTTTTGATGAAAAATGAATCTTGACTTTTGATTTTGACCAAAAAGTCAAAGTTTGACTTTTCAGTGTACAGTCAAAATTGATCAATTGACTGGGAAATTCAACTGTCAATTTTGTGTACTTGGGATCTTTTGAGTTTGTTGAGCATGTAAAGATAATTCCATGGGGTCCTTGAGTCCATATGTGAGCTTGGTTTGCCATTGGTTAGGTCAAACAGTCAAAAATTGCCTTTGTGCAGTCAAAACCCTAAAAATGACCATTTTGCCCTTTTGGTGATCTGATTAAATGTCTTGTGGAATTGTGATCCAAACTTGATCAAATGGTCAATATGAGTTCAAAATGTTGATGAGGGTCAATTTTCATGAGGTTTGACTGTCAATTGGCCATAGTTGACTTTTTCCCCAATACAGCTGATTTATAGGTCAACTGTCCAATTGACTGGGCAAAACTTGGAATCAAGGCCTGAAACTTGGTATGGATAAACTTGGGAGTCCAATATGAAGCAATAAAGTCATCTTAGGCATTTTGGGTCAAAACATCTTTGTGCAAACACAAACCCTAATTTGGGTCAGCAGTGCAAGGAGGAGTCTTGAGCAGATGAAACCTTAACTGGATCTTGAGCTTCAAGGGCTTTGTGGTGAGAAATCAATGAGAAATGGGAGGGAAAATTTTGGGGTACAACAGACCCAATAGTCACTGCCTGAGCATAGTTACCATTTGAATGTGAGTAACCATCTGCACAGCCACCATCTGTACCTGTAATAGAAATTCCCTCCCCATTCACGGGTGAAAACTAGGTCAGGGTAAGATAATGGTAACTCGAAAATCACGGGTTCGCCTGAAAGTGCTATGGGCTTGCCCACAGACGTGGGTGCCGATAGTAATTCATTTGAACCTCATCCGAGCGTGGTATATGACATGACTGCACTAATCGGACCACGTTCTATAGCCGTCATGCCCCCACTCTATTCCTAGGTGTCCTAGTGCACTCTGGCCTGGGTACTGGGCCTTTTACCTCAATAGTGACATCCCCACCCAACATAGAGAGAACAGAGTCCAGCATAATAGATAACAAATATGGAAAGCCATAAAATGCAATGCAAACTTATACTTAGATAAACATGTACAAATGAGTAAACTGAAAGCATAAAAATAAACACCCTAAGGAAAGAAAACAAGAGCTAGGAGCGACTCCGGGATGGACCAGCATTTGGTCGACCTGATTCCCCAGTGAAGTCGCCAGCTGAAACAACCGGCTGAAAATCATCAAAACAATGAAGTCGCCATCGAACGTCTTTTATCCCACATGTAGGGAAAGGTAAACATCTAGAAAACCTAATGAGGAAGAAGTCACGGTCTTGCGACCGAGAGATCGGGTAAGGGAGTCTGTTATGCGAGGGGAAGGTATTAGCACCCCACACGCCCGTAGTACTCTACGGTATCCACTCTTGTTATCTATCTTATGGGTGTGTTTAATCTATGCTTACTGTTTACTATACTACTGGAGGAATGCATGCAAAAGAAAGGGGAAAAGAATGTAGGGAAAATAAAATTGTGCTCGCTTGGGCCCTACCCCAGTGCCTACGTATCCGTTTTGAGGAATCAGAGCTACCGTAGTTCAGCTCATATGTTTTTGTTTGTTTGTGTTTTTTGTGTGGACGAAGTTAATTCCGCCTTCTGCCGCAGCTCGATGTTTGGAGACTTATGCGTTGGCACAGAAGTAAATTAATCGTGTCCTCACCTGAAAAGGGGTTTTTAATGAAAGGTGCTCGAGCGCACAGAAGATTTGAGTTTGTTTTGTATTTTTGTAGTAGATGATGACTGTTTGACCTCAAGGGAGAGATATTAGCCATTTTTCTACTTAGCTATGAAATGAGTCTTTGAGACTTGAACCACACCTATGCTTGAGATGGAGAACAATAAGATTGAGAAGAGACCCGCTTATCGTTTCCCGTACTAAGCAAAAGCATGATTCTCATCAGTAGTTTTAAAGTGTTTTGAATTTCGAAAAGAAAAAAGAAGTTTTAGTTTTAGATGCGTATGCAAAAGGGAGGAAGAAAAGTCAAAGGGGAATTAACCTATTTCTACACCTGATGTTATCGTGCGTGGTTAGACCTAAAGTTAGAATTTTGATAGAATTCTACTTAATGTTAGCACGCGTATGAATTGCGGTAAAGTAAGAATAAAATAGAGTTGTGACGATACCGAACAGAGAAGGTCCGTTGCCTCTTCAAGATTGTGCAAGCGGTAAGAAAATTCTATCAAAGTTCCCTTGGGCAAGTGATTGAAGAATTCACCTCGAGCATTCCACATTGCAAGAGTTATGTCGATGCTACTAAAATCTTGACAAACTCAATAATGTCCGCAAAAAGTGAATCCAAAGCTAAGAAACCCAGAATACTTCGCACGAGCTAGCATCAACAAGCAAACAATCAGAGATCGAATGCTCAGAATAAGTGTCGAGATATCATCGATGTGAAAATAAATCACAATCGAAAACTCAAGCATATCCGCATATCACACAACAAACCTGCATAAGACTCAAATCTCGAAAAAAACAACAGTGAATCACAAATCTCAAGTAATCGAATAATTATGAATTAATTTCTAAAATCAAATAAAAAATCTAACAAATTTTGATTGATTTTTATCATTTTTATCATGGAAAGATATAGAAAAAAAAATTTTAAAAAATCCTAAACTCTACCTATTTTTCTTATTGTTTCATTAGCATTAGTCTTTATTAAATAAAGTTTAAAAGAAAATTTAAACTGAAATAAAAAACTAAAACAATTAGAAACAGATAGGGGGTGAAAATTGGAATAAGGGAGTCTGGTTAGCAAACAAAGCCGAGCGCTAGGTCCGTCAACACAATCCAACCACAACATTTTTGTCACTTCCAATATCTCTTCAAAAATGGTATGGGCCAAGGCTGCTTTTTGTTCACAAACTGCTCCAAACTGCAAAAAAAACGTGTAATGGGCCTAGAGGAGAGTTGCAATTCGGAGGACAAATCACTCCAATCATCACCAGTTTCAATTCAACATGGTTATAATTATATTTAAAAAAACAATTAATAAAAACATTTGAAATAAAAAAAGTAAAGTAAAGAGAATGAAGGAACAGTGTGAATTGGAAGAGGAATTAGGGTTAAAAGTATCTCTTCAAATCCTTCTGAAACACAATTCTCCATACAGCGCTGCAGGGACTTCTTCCTCAATAGCTCACCGCTGTCTCATAATCTCCGTCAAAAGCTCTATCGCTAAACAAAATCTCTCCGCCCTGGCTTCCATTCAACGGGACAATATTTACCGGGACTTCATCTTCGATGACACGACTCTCCTCTCAGTGAGCTCGCCTCTCAACTTCACCCGTTTGTTAACTCGTCTCAACACCTCCATCTCAGCAAACACCTCCGCAAACCGTCGAGTTTGACTCAATCTCAAACATCTCAACATCTCTTCCGCCGATTCATTTTCATTTCGATTTTCTCTGTGTTTCGTATCTTTTTGTGGATTCAACAACTTATTCGAAATAGAAATTGCAGAGCAACAAAAGAAGATTTACCTATCCGATAGCTATTCGAAGTGGCGGCGTTAATCAGAAAAGACCAGCGGTATAGAAGGTATACTCTTCAATCTCTTGCCTATGCTATTTCTCTTCTTCTTCTTCTTTTTCGATTCTCCCGTTTCTGAATTGTTGCTACTGTGTATGATATGAAGGCGATGTTGTTGATGTTACCGTGATGTTGCTACGTTCACTAGTGCAGAAATGACTTTTTACATCGGGTGAAATTGACTTTTTACATCGGTTCTGGGTCCGATGTAAAGTCAGACGATATAGTAAATCAGGGACTTTTTACATCGGTTCTGGGACCGATGTAAAAAGTCCCTTTTTTACATCGGTTATAATATCAGAACCGATGTAATAACCTGTTATTATGCATATTTTTTAAAAAATTGATCCAGTTTTTTACATCGGTTGGAAGTAATACCCGATGTAAAAAGTCCCTTTTTTACATCGGTTATAATATATGAACCGATGTAAGAAACAGTTATTATGCACTTTTTTTTTAAAAATTGATCCAGTTTTTTACATCGGTTGGAAGTAATACCCGATGTAAAAAGTCCCCAGTGACACGACTTTTTACATCGGTTATTATCCCCGACCGATGTAAAATGTATGAAATTTTTTTGGAATAAATTATTTATTTTCTGGATGTTTCCCTGTACAAATATAATTTGTACCCATTTTTTCATATTTTTCCAATATCACACAGACTATATTTATGTCGCTATATAGATTTCATAGCTTTCCAACATCACATATATCACATCTAGGTCGATGTTTTCATATTTTTCACAACAAACTTACAAATTGAACAATTGTATTGCAAACTTGTATTGTATTACAACAAACAAACTTACAATTACAAATTCTTCACAAAATATACAACAATATTCAACTATTTATAAGTCTTTTTTCAAAACTTACAATTACATATTATTCACAAAATATACAAAAAATATTCAACTATTTATAAGTTTCCAAACTTAAATTACCAATATAAAATCTCCGGTAGACAACTAAATAATCAGTATACTGATATATACACTCATCCTAAAAGAAGACCCAATTACCCTTAACATAACAAGCCTCCAAATTTTTACACAACACTCCGTTCTTTCTGTTTTTGTTTCCGCTTCAATCTCTTTGTTTTCTTTGTTTTTGCCCCATAGAACGGAGTAAAGTCCTATTACGATCAAAATTGCTCCAATAACACTGAAAATCATAAATTAAATAAATAAATCAATAATGAAAACAAATTATTTACCTACTTTCTCATTTTGTGTTTTTTTTTTATTTTTATGATTGTGATGTTTCCTTTTTTTGTTGATTTATGATAAGAAAATGATAGAAAGTATAGAGAAGAAACCGCATGAAAGTAAAGTATCTTTCCCACTGAAAATTGATTAGTTCATAATTCATTGCATTGAACAAAGGTTTTAATTAAATTTGTGGTCCACTTGTGATGCAATAGTAAAGTTTCAGATGTATCAGCATCCCAACATTATAATTGTGGTTGCATTCTTCACACATCTGTCTCTTTTTTTCTTCAAAAATTCGATATAGAGATAAATACAAATTAGACCAAAAATAGAGAATAAAAAACTTTATATAATGGACTTACCCTCCAAGATATAATTTTTCAGCAAGGATGAAAGTGGCCATGGTTGCTACAATGATCATCATCAAAGGACTAAAAGCAGTCACAAAAACTGGTCCTTTCTTTTGCATCACAATTCCTTGTACATAATATGTAAGACCTGATGATATTATACCCTGTTTGTTCATCAATGTTTAGCTCCATTAATTAAAATCCTCCATAAACATAACAAAATACCTAGATATTAGGAGAAAAACTTACAGCATAGGCTGCAGCTAATAAATTCATGTCCAAACCAATGTTCCAAACATTTGGTTTATGCTCCATAACAAAATAAAAACAATTATTTAAGAACAAATTAAAATGGATTATACAAGATTAATGGTGATCTAAAGCTTACCGAGTTTGTTCGATAACAGGAATTTATGATGTGAATATTCTAATCAGTTTATAACAAAGTGATAAGGAGACAGACGTCTCTGAAATGGGCATTCACCTTATGAAACATTCTCATGTCAAGAGAGAATGGTTAGATAACCGACCTATTAATAGTACATCTGGGATTTTAATCTTTGATTTGTTTTGACAAATGTCCAGATAAACTTTACTTCATTGATTATGAATATGCATCATACAACTACAGAGGCTATGACATAGGGAATCACTTTGCAGAATATGCCGGTTTTGTGAATGTGACTACTCCTTGTAAGTTCTTTATGCTTGCTTTTCTTGCTTTACATGATCACAATCAATTTTATTTATTCCACATTTTATCATGCAGGTACCCAAATATGAATGAACAATATCATTTCTTCAGGCATTACTTACAGCCGGACAGACCTCAAGAGGTAACAATCATAGTGAAGGGGATTAATATTTAAAATTGCATTTTATTCATTGTTTCCTTATTATCAATCGTCTGTAAAATGAGATGCACATAGTCTATCAACTATTTTGGTTTGTAATGTCTAGATTAAAAAAACAAGTTCAGTGTTGCTTATAATTTGTAAGATATATTTTTTATTTTTGGGTGGAGGAGGGGGGTCACATTGGCGACTCCTTTTCATATTTGCTACAAAATTCATCCTAGTTTATCACAAGTGAAGAAAATAACACCAAGTTAACTAATTTAATACTAAAAACATATAAAAAGAAAAGGAACATATTATATATATATATATATATATATATATATATATATATATATATATATATATATATATATATATATATATATATATATACCTGAAAATAAAAAACAGCCATTACAAAAGTCATTGCAGGGAAAATATTGCTAATAGCACAAGAGTATGTTGGAGATGTGAATTTCAACCCAGCATAGTATAGATTCTGATCAATCACAGGCCTAAACAAAACAAAAACACTTATTTAAGAACATTTTTGGAATAGTTAACGTTGCGATTCAGATGAACTAACTATAGTGTTTTTTAGAAATTTCGACAGCAAAGAATCTAAATCCATCAGAAAACACCGCGAGAAAAGTACTAACCCGAGGAGTCCCAATACAAACATTTGCATGAACATAAGAAACGTAATCCTTGGCCTTATCTTCCTGCCAACGACAAGAAAGAAGGAAGGATCAGAAAGTGGTTTTCTCAAACAAAAAATCAGTCAGAAAATGAATGATTGTTGAATACCTCTCAAGAACTATAGCGAATGGAGCAATAGCTGCTGTAGCAAAAGCATGTCTATAAACAACAAAAACATAGTGACTCATTCCTCGGTTGAGCGATACTTTTGTTATTATATTCATACCAGCAAAACCAAATTGAAGACAAATCATAGCTATGTATGGCTTGCACCTTTGAAACAAACTTGAACAACATTTATCTCCTTCCATTACTAGTACTACGTTATTGTTTGTATTGTATACAGAGGAAGAGAAGAACACTTGAATGTGTTTGTGTTGTGTATTTTCTTCTTGAGTGTAAAACGTCATGCTTTCTATTGTATTTATAGATAGAAAAATAGTATAATATACAATTAAATTAAACAGTTGAAAACAAACATTAACAACCAATAATTAGAAAAAGCAATCTATAATGAATCACTATCTATATTATAGTACACTCTCTAATGAATCACTATCTATATATACAAGAGAAAACAATAACAGAAGGCGTTTCACTCACAAACAATCATAGCATTATAAAAAAAAGTTATGAAATAGTGGCAGTATAGAGTATCAGAACTTAACAAACCACTAAAGTTTGTGACACGCGATTTAGTACAAAATGTTGTCAAATTCAAATAGCAGATATACAATTTAGCCTAGCAGAATTAGGACAAACTTTCTATTGACAATACGAGTAAGAAATAGACTACTCTTCAATCTTAAATTCTAAATCTTGAAATGCTTAATGAGATAATGCAAACAAAGCAAGCTAAGAATCATGATTCATGAGAATTAACATAGAAAAAATGAAATAGAACAATGAAATAGTGAAAACCTTGTTGGATCTCCATGACTAGCCAACCAAGGCTCCACCACTGAAGCACCAAAAGAATCAACAATATGCCTATGATTATCCTTGTTAAACTCCCCACCACCACCACCACCATGGCTTCCTCCACCAACCCCCATAGATTTACTACACTCGGCCAAATTCGCCTGCTTGGCCAACCAATTCAACACCTTCAACCCATCCTCAAACGCAGCCGGATACCTACTCTCCGGCGCCAACCTATACCCAACCGCAACGACAATCACATCACAAAGCTTGGCGATCCGCCGACAAAACAAATCGTTCGCCACCGAATCATTACTACCACTAACCCACCCCCCACCATGAAACTGCAACATCACCGGTAATTTCCTCCGCCGATTATCCAATGCCGGCGAGTAACCACGGTACAAACCAGCACCGGTTTCAACACCAGCGCCCATCAAATTCAAACCCTCAACAGCGTTACTATTCCTCCCTCGGAGCTGCTCTTCCCTGAACGGAGGACCATAGCTACTTCTCCATACAGATCCAGGTTCGGGAGCTTGTTGTTTAGGTTTGGAGTTAGGTTTGGAATGAGGCTCGGGAGGAGAAAGAGCGGAGTGAGGAAGAAAGATTCGGATAGAGAGAGAAGTGAAAGGATCGATGTGGATATCCTTGGTGGCGACGCCGTCGGTAAAAGAAGGGTTAGAGTTAGCGACGGATTCTTCGGGTCGTGAAGTGATACCAAACGAGTTGGAGTTATTGTCGGGTTGGGCTTGAATCCGGTTTTGTAAACGGTGCTTCAAGAGGAACTTGAAGAATACGCTGTAGAGTTTTACAGCCACACTTGGCATTTCTCAGGGAAGGAACTCCAGTTTTGAGTTTTGGATAATAATGATAATAGTATGGTTTTTCTTTTAGGAATGGAAAGTGGGGAAATTGAAGTTGAAGTTTAGAAGATTGGGAATAGGGTTTATGAAAAGGAGAAATTGGTTTGGAAGATGATGGAGTGAGGTGAGAGATAAGAGATGGGTTTGGTGATTTGCTTTAGATACAACTTTTAGCTGGTATGCCGGTGTGTCTAGTTGGCTTTTTCGAGATGAAGTGGTGGAAGAATAACGATGGAGTTGTAATTTTTCTACTGTTTGGGAAATAAGGGTTTGACACCTATTACATCGGTGCATTGTAATACCCGATGTAAGGGTTGGCAAGCTATTACATCGGTGCATTGTAATACCCGATGTAAGGGTTGGCAAGCTTTTTTTTTTACAATGCACCTATTACATCGGTGCATGTAATACCCGATGTAAGGGTTGACAAGCTTTTTTTTCTGACTTTTTTTTTATAATGCACCTATTACATCGGTGCATTGTAATACCCGATGTAATAAGTTGCAAAAAAATTAATTTATTCTTTAATTTATTTTTTATATTAATATCTGTTGTGAAGATATTACATCGGTGTTTAGTCAACCGATGTAATATGTTGCATGTTTTTTATTAATATTTCTACTACCTTGTTTCTTATTTACAAAAATGCCACCGTATTTTTTTCTGAAAACTTTTTACATCGGTGGATGCGTTTGCCCGATGTAATAGGTAGCGAAATATATATTTTTTCATATTTTTTATATCATTGCAAATAAATACCTGATGTAAAAAGTTTGTTAATTGTATTTTTTACATCATATATTTTGATACCCGATGTAAAAACCTTTTCTCAAATGTCTTTTTTTTAGTAGTGGTTGAACATTGGTGATTGAAATTGTTGTGCACATTGATATTGTGATGATGCGTTGATGTTGTAGGTTGGTGTGAAGATGATGAAGTGCGTTGAAGTTTGATGTGAAGATGATGATGAGTGTTGAAGATGTGCAGAGATGATGAAATGGAGAAGAACCAAATGAAGACTGAAACAAGATTTTTTTGCAGGATTGTTGAAGATGAAGATTGGTATGATTCTTTTTTCTGTGTTGAAAATCGTATATCTCCCTATTCTGTCAATCTCCTTCTTTTGTTGCTGTGCTTCTGTGTTGCTGATTCCTATTGTTGTTATTATTTGCAGTAGCCGTTTTGTTCTTGTGTATCATTTGTTGAGCACGGATCAGAGATGCAAGATTGTGAAGATTGAAGGTTGGGGAGTTGCAGAGATGGAGGTTTAGGGAGAAGAAGGTTGAGGTTTCAGAGTGTGAGTTCAGAGAATTTGGAGGATTGAGATGAGGATGGTGATTGTGATGGTGAACTGATGCATGGATGAATGTGGATGAAGGTTCTGAAACTGGAAAAATGGTGAGAATTGTGGAGTGAAGATGAAGAAATGAAGGTTTGTACCGAGAGAGTGAAGGAAGAGTTTCTGAGGATTTTTCTCTTGGTGAGTTTCTTTCTTAATGTAAAATAAAAATCGTCTCTATTTTTCTGACTGTGGTCCTTTTTATTATGTATATGCTGGAGTTTGGTTGTAAAATAAGCCATGAGTTGGTTATGTGGTTAGTTAATTCTGTTAGGATAATGTTAGAAATTAGTTAGGAGCTTAGCAGGGTGGTTAACAGAAATTCTGTTTTGGAAGTTATGATGCAGTTTGTTGTTATATCAGTTTTGGTTGTTGTTAGTTATGCTGTTTATGGTTTGTTAAGTTAGTTATGCTGTTAGAAGTGGTTAGAAGGTTTGAGAGTTTGTTATGAATTGGTTATTGAATGTTAGGTATGCTGTAACTGTTTTTTGGGTTTGTTAATTTGATTGAGATATGGTTTTGGATAGGAAGTTTTGTTAGGAAATGTTTTATGAAAAAAAATTGTTTTTGCCTTTCATTATGCAGGTCCTTTTTGTTAAGTTGGGATTCCATTACAGGGTGGTTTTGAAAATGGTTGGGAGGTTTAGAAATTGTTAAATGGTTGTTTGACAGTTGGTTATGGTTTTGAAAACTGTTAGAGATTGGTTAAGGGTTGTTGGGAAAAATGGAAAGTTGGAATTGGTTAATTTCGGTTAGGAGTTGGTTTGTTGTTTTCTGTTGCAGTAAGTTACTTTGCTATAAAATTTATGTGCCGGGCTGCCTTTAGAGAATGGTTAGGGAATTGGTTTTGACAATTGGAAGTGTAGTGTATGCGGTTCATGCTTATGACAGTTTATCCAATATTTTTGCAGGTTTGGTATATATCAGGGCTATTGGGAAGCAAAGGCAAAAGGAAAACACCAAGATGATATGAAGTTGGAACAAAGACGCATAACACGAAGTTTTGGAAGCTTGAAGTTTGAAACATGAAGAATGGTTGAAAATTAGGATAGGTTTTGGTAAAAATGTATAGATGTTATGTATAATTGTAATGGAATTTGGACTTGTATGTATTTGAATAATTGTAATGTATGTTGACTTTATTTCCACATAATGAAATGGCCTTTGTATGAATTCAAATAAATGGTATGAATCCAAAATATTTGCAAGGTAACCAAAGGAGACATGAATCTTGAATGAATCCAAGAGAGGCTATTTGGACAATATTTTGATGGTTGGATGAATTTGATGCATGTTTTTTCATACTTGTGGTTTGAATTCCAAGAAAAGCCACGCAAATATTTAAGAACTTTGATTTTCTCCAAATCCGCTTCAAATATTAATGAATGAATTCTAATCAAACTACAGCTTCAGTGAATCCCTAATTCAATTCAATTCCTCAGTATAAACCAAACTTGTGTGTCAAGCAATAAGCATTTGAAATAATGACACCTTGATCACAATCAACATCTTGTACCATGTCCCGACTATATGAGCACTAGAACAACGACGTCTTGGACCCCTTCTCAACAGATGATAATGACTATGCCCTGAGGGATTCTTTGCAGATGAATATGAAAGATGAGACATGCGAATACCTTGATATGGAATGAACCTCAGGTAGAATGCTGACAAGCTCAAGTATGAAAATGTATAAAACCTGATTTTTAGCTTCGTCTCATAAAACCTTGCAACTTGACATTGAGAAGAAAAGAATATCATCGTAGCTTGATGATGATAAGGTCCATGAAATGAAAACCTAGCTTCAAACAGATTATTAATGGAGAAATCAACCGAAACAAGCTTGTGCGAAGATGGGAGCCTTAAAGCCATACACCAACCCTTATTCCTCTAAATCCATGATCTTATGCCAATTTATCAATTAATGATGCATGATGTGTTAGATGACCTAATGGAAATTATATATGTGAGAAAAATGCAAAAATGCGTAAGCCAGATAGGAATTAAAAGGGTAGGACAAATTTGGGGTATTACAGTTGCCCATATTTAATCGTCTTAAACCTGAAAGTACGATTGGCACATGCCTTTCGGAAGTTCAAGGTTGAAGATGATTAAATATCAATGCCAAAAATTTGTCCTGAGGGAGAAAGAGTTTTCTTTATTATTTTTGTGATATTTATTGGGGAAAAAAATTTGTTTTTCAATGAAGAGACAAAGATTGGACTTGTAACGTGGCTTGATGCCAATACAAGACAAATGGTTGGTATGAAAAGACAGCGGACGAGGCCTACGGGTGACCTACGATCCGAGGGTGACACATGAGAGTGATTTGACAGAGAACCTAGCCAAAGGGCGATCTCAGGTTCGACGAAGGTTTGAAGGAAGAACCTAGCCAAGAGGCGATCTCAAGTTTGACGATGATTTGAAGGAAGAACCTAGCCAAGAGGCAATCTCAGGTTCGACGATGATTTGAAGGAAGAACCTAGCCAAGAGGCAATCTCAGGTTCGACGATGATTTGAAGGAAAAACCTAGCCAAGAGGCGATCTCAGGTTCGACAATGATTTGAAGGAAGAACCTAGCCAAGAGGCGATCTCAGGTTCGACGATGAAAACATGGGTTATGACATGATGATTGTTTAGATAAGCGACACGGACGAGCATCAAGAAATTTTAAACACGGACGAGTGTTTGAATCAATACGGACGAGTATTGAAAGAAGATACGGACGAGTATCCAAGGTTAAACACAGACGAGTGTTTGAATCAATACGGACGAGTATTGAAAGGAGATACGGGCGAGTATCAAAAAGTTAAACACGGACGAGTGTTTGATTCAATACGGACGAGTATTGAAAGGAGATACGGACGAGTATCAAAAAGTTAAACACGAACGAGTGTTTGATTCAATACGGACGAGTATTGAAAGAAGATACGGACGAGTATCAAAAAGTTAAACACGGGCGAGTGTTTGATTCAATACGGACGAGTATTGAAAGAAGATACGGATGAGTATCAAAAAGTATAAACACGGACGAGTGCTTGATTCAATACGGACGAGTATTGAAAGAAGATACGGACGAGTATCAAAAAGGTTAAACACGGACGAGTGTTTGAATCAATACGGACGAGTATTGAAAGAAGATACAGACGAGTATCAAAAGGTATAAACACGGACGAGTGTTTGAATCAATACGGGCGAGTATTGAAAGAAGATACGGACGAGTATCAAAAAGTTAAACACGGACGAGTGTTTGAATAACCGACCCGGGTGGGTGTTTAGGAAACTTGACACATACGAGTGCTTAGGAATGGACACAGACGAGTGTTTAGGGATGGACACGGACGGGTGTTTAGGGAACTGACTACCAGACAAGAACTGGGTTTAGAACGGCAAAGTGTATTGATTTTGTTTGGCATTGAAAAGGTGAAGGTCACCGACTGGGGATTTCGGGCATGATACCCTTTTGTAGGGATGTATTGTTGTCCTTGAATAATTCAGGTCTTTCGTGTAAGGTACCTGGTCTGGCTTATGCTTTGTATGCATGTTTGAATTTCTTTTGACGCAAAGATCCACTCTGATGGATCAGCTACGCGCTTTTGAGGATGCAATGTTATGTAATGATAAC